CTGGAACCCTGTGATTGCAGAAGCCGGGCGGGTGGACTCCTACCCCCCCCCCCCAACCCCTCCAGCCTTCTGCGCAATCACAGGCTCCCAGTGCCGATGGCGGCCTCGCCTCCCAGCCTGGGAGTCCTAGCTGGGAGGCGGAGCTGCGATCGCCGCTTATCCCACGTTCTGGGTGTCCGGTATTTTTTGGGAGAACATCTGGCAACCCTATCGCTCCCCCCTCCCCAAATGCACACGGGGCCAGTTATACGGCACAGCAGAACCACGCTTTAAAGCTGCTGCAACCTGCATTGACTAACTGGTGGCATCCGGACCGCAGAATAGCACCTAGCAGGCTCTGTGCCAGAGCTCAGCTGGCAGGCCAGGAAGGCAGGGCCTGGCCTCGGTGTCTCTAGGAACCCCCTCCCACACAGATCCATGGGACAGTCAATACGATGGCTGCACACAGCACACACAGCAGGCTGTTTGTCCCGCTCCAGGACAAGCCAACCCTCCCTCTAAGCACCTGCCGCACTCCCAGCCTGGCCCAGCGGCAGGATCCCCAGCCCAGCAGTGCCTCGTGCTAGTCCTGTGCCATTGGGACAATCGCTGTCAGCTGCCTTGATGCACCCCAGAGGTGGCTGCCTGTTCGTGGTGGGCACAGCCCATTCAGCAAACTTCCATTCCACGTGGTGTTTTTTCCAGGGTTTTCTATTTAAGTTGCTGGGGCCCGGTTTGTAACGACCAAGGATTTTACATGAACATTGAATCAAAGAGAAAGAAACCCAGCTGGAGCTTAGCCCCATCTGCCTGATGATTGGGCAGGGACGTCTACTAATCAGACCCTGCTCTCTCTCAAAGCAGCTGCCTGGAGGAGAGAGAGCATGACCAGGCGCTCAGCCATGCTCCAAACCTCCTCACCCCATGCCCTGCGTGGGAGAGACACACAGCTCCCGCAAGGGACCTTTCGGCTGCTAGCATGGCTTGGCATTGGGTCGCCATGGAAACGCGGCCCTGAGCCACTAAGGGCTGAGGCTGGTGTGGGCTCCCTCTGCTGGAAGGGAGCTCGGGTACCCGGCCTCTCCTGCCTGGCTCTCCAGCCCGGCACCGTCCCCAGACATCTCGCCCTGGGTGCCAAGGGAGAGCTCCGGGAGGCAGGGCAGGGGGTCGCTCCCAGCAGCCTCGTCCTGGTGCACCATGACGTGGGCGGGGGAGGCCAGGCCGGAGCTGCCCGAGGCGTGGCTGAAGTTCTGGAAGCTGTCCCGGACCCGCAGGATGTATCTGTGCAGCACGCTGGCCTCGTCCAGAGGGCTGGCAGGGACAGGGTGGGCAGACAGGCTGGGATGCAGCTGTTTCACCTCCGAATGCAGGTGCGACACCGACTGGTTCAGCTCCGTGATACGGTTCCCCAGGTCTGCGAACGAAGCAGAGGCAGGGTGAGCTGAGAGCTCTGGGGCGTCGCTCCACGGACCGTAGCGCAGTGACTCTGCTTTTACACGGGGGGCAGAGCTGGAGTCACTCCACTGAGTTCTGGTTTTAACTGGGGGGGGGGCCTGGAGCTTGGTATGGATTACAGCAGTTTGTCAATACTGGAAACATTCTTCCCATGGGGCTCAAGAACCTTAGATAGTAATGGCCTGAGCTGCACTGTGGGAGCTAAAGGAGCAACTCCACTTAACGGCAGCAGTTGTAGGCTGTTATCCTTCTGAGAAATGGTCCACACTTTGCCAGGGGCTCAAGAACATGGGCCATCTGCATGAACCTTAGGCAGTAATGGCCTGAGCTGCACTGTGGGAGCTAAAGGAGCAACTCCACTTAATGGCAGCAGTTGTAGGCTGTTATCCTTCTGAGAAATGGTCCACACTTTGCCAGGGGCTCAAGAACATGGGCCATCTGCATGAACCTTAGGCAGTAATGGCCTGAGCTGCACTGTGGGAGCTAAAGGAGCAACTCCACTTAATGGCAGCAGTTGTAGGCTGTTATCCTTCTGAGAAATGGTCCACACTTTGCCAGGGGCTCAAGAACAGGGGCCATCTGCATGAACCTTAGGCAGTAATGGCCTGAGCTGCACTGTGGGAGCTAAAGGAGCAACTCCACTGAATGGCAGCAGTTGTAGGCTGTTATCCTTCTGAGAAATGGCCCACCCTTCACCAGGGTGTAACACCTGCTTCCTCTTCACTCTCATCCTTCCCTTTCTTCACTCTGTTTCCCCTTGCCCTTTTCTCCCTTCCAGGCAATCCTTCCTCAGCAGTGTCTCATGGAGTCTTACTCAGTCTGGCCCACCGTGTTGGCCTGGGTGAAGAGGGCTCTCCAGAACTTAGAGTCACAGAGTATAAGGCCAGGAAGGAGCGTGAGCTGCTGCGTATCACAGGCCATGGACTCCTCCCAGCGGCTACATGCTGGACAGAGAATAGGAGGGACCGAAGACCAGGCCAAATCCAGGGGCAGGGTTACCTTTCCTCCTGCTCTCCTCGAACTCCCGCCTGGCCGTGTCGATGTAGCGCTGCACCAGAGCCTGGATCCCCTGCAGCCGATAGGAACGGCAGCTCTCCCCACGCAGGCCTTCATCCTCCAGGGCAGCATTCGCCTGAAGAGGGTGGGAACCAGGGTTACACGGGCACTTGCGATGCAGGGGGGCTCACTCACACCCCTGCTCACCAGCCGGCCGCCTGACCGTGCACAGTCCGGGCGGGTGTCATACACCCAGATGGGGTCTAGCCGGGCAGATGAACTCTGGGAAGCCCTTGTCCCCTGTGGAACAGGCATTGTTTGGGACAGACTCCCGGGGAGCCCCAGCATGGCGATAAAGCGGCCTCGTTGTCAGAGTAGCTTTCTCCAAGGCTCGCTCTGCAGGCAAGCAGAGAGACAAGACGGGGAACTTACAATGGTGGGAATCGGGGGGAAATCCTGTTGTCTCTTGGGTCTGGAGCAGCACAGGAGCCGGAAGAGGCCCCTGGGGAAGGCAGAAGGACACAGCATCAGAGGGCTGTCGCTGACGTAGCCAGCCAGCCCTGGGGATGCGACATTCAAATCTGAACCCAGAGCCAAACGGATACACGATCTGGAGTTGGTTGCTGGTCCCGGCCCCATGGAGAGATGAGCCCCAGGCGTCATGTTCAGCTCCGCACCGTTCTGGAATTTGGGTTCAGGCCCATCGCCCTTCAGAAGAGATTTTATCCCCTGGCTTTTAACTTTTAAAGCTACCAAGCAGGAGACCAGGAGCGTGGGAGACGGGCTGCTGCCCCCCCTTCCACCCCGCCCTGACCTGTGGCCAAGATGCCAGGAGCGCTTGGGGGGGACAATCTTCCCTCCACAGTGACTCTTCACAGCCGGCATTGGGTGCTGAGCAGCAAACAGGAACCTTTTAGCAACTGCCTCTGTTCGGGTCACTGCCTTTCTACCTGCTGATAACCAGCTCCCCAAGATCCCGCCCTTGCCCCGCCTCTTCCCACAAGGCCCCGCCCCTGTCCCACCTCTTCCCACAAGGTCCCACCCCTGTCCCGCCTCTTCCCACAAGGCCCCACCCCTGCCCTGCCTCTTCCCCCAAGGCTCCGCCCCTGTCCCGCCTTTTCCCACAAGGCTCCGCCCCTGCCCTGCCTCTTGACCGCTTCCTTTGAACCTCTGCCCCTTCATCTCTTCCCCCGGCCACGCTCACTTCTCTGGCTCTTGCCCCAAGATCCCGCCCTCTCTCTCACTCCTCTCCTGCCTCTCCCTTGATTGTCTCTACCAGCTGCCTGTAGATAGGAGGTGGCCTCCACTCTGTAGGGTTGACGCAGTTTCCTCCCGGCACCTCCTCCTGCCCCATCGTCACCAGGCATTTGAGTCCAGTACCATTTAGGGCTCTCTTTTTGACCAGACCTTCCACCGAGCACCTGGCAACCCTCAACAGCAGGCGGACCCAAAAACTGGACTGTCCAGATAAACCCCGAATGGGTGAAAACCCTGCTCTGTATGTCTAACGCGGGCAAGAGTCTGTGGGGGGCTGCTTAGTGTTTTCTATTACCAATGCAGCCAATGCTTTCCCCTCCCATGGCAGCCTGGGGACGTGGGCACTGAAATGTACAAGAGATCCTGCAAGCGCTGTGCAGTGCAGATGGAGAGACAGGGCCGAGGACATGCCGAGCGCAGCTCCTGGGGAGTCAGCCCACAGCAAATAGGGTACAACTACCTCCAAAGGAAAGAAATACCAGGTTCAAAGGGGGCTTTCATTCTAGACGGAAAAAGAACTAATGCCTGGAAACTGAAGCCAGACACATTGAAATGTGCCATGAGGGCCCAAATAAAACAGTGCGGGTGATTAACTAATGGGACAAACTCCCATTTTAGCAACTGCCTCTGTTTGAGTCACTACCCTTCTACCTGCTGATAACCAGCTCCCCAAGATCCCGCCCTTGCCCCGCCCCTTCCCACAAGGCCCCGCCCCTGCCCCGCTTCTTCCACCGAGGCCCGCCTCTTGACCACTTCCCTGGAAGCTCTGCCAATAGGGCCAGAGCCCTTTTGAAAGATGCTTTAGTGAAACATGAGTTATTGGGCGCAGTACAGGGGTAAGCCCTGCTCTGTGCCATAGAGCAGAGCCAACGACTGGTCCACGGACTAGCACCAGTCCCTGAGATGTCCCTGACATCAGCAATGCTCAGGTATGGAAAAGGTCAGGAAACACTGCCACATTGGAATCACACGAGAGGTTCTAATGGTCCCTGCTGGCCTTAAAATCTAGTAATATGTGAATCAACTCCCTGAAACTGGCGTGCCAAGGGAGCAGTGCTCCATCTGCCTGCATCATGTCCTTCCTACACATGTCTAGGTCTCCTCAGCTCTCTTGGACAAACCGCGAGGGAAGTGCGGAGGAACATTTCCAAAGGAACAAAGCATTTACGTGAAACAATTTATGGAAACTTTCCTGAGGTTTCAATTTGTCTCTGGAGAAATGAAAACAGAAAGGGAGTTTTGTCCACTTTCCCCCAACTTTTTGTCCCTGAAATGGAGGAGGGAAAGGGAGAGAAAGTGAGACAAACTAGTCAAAAAATTAACACGTTTTCAGTTTTCGGCAAGGGGCGGAGGGTAACACATTTTTTAAACTTCCAAAAAAACCTCACCTTCATATTTTCATCACCACGTTCCACTGTCCAAAAAAAATGCATTTTGGGTTGAAAATAGATTTGAACAAAACAGTCAGCTGATGCAGCTCAGAACTGACTCTCTTTGCAAACGCTTCGGGGGTAGCCGAGTTAGTCTGTACAGGAAAAAACAACAAATGGGCTGGTAGCATGTTTTGTTCGTCTATACAGTGCCACCAGTCCATATGTTGTTTTTTTCTCTTTGCAAAGTAGCTGTTCCCCCAGGACGTGAAAGGCTGCTGGCTGGATGACCTGGTGGGTAAGGCCTTGAATGGGGACTCAAGAAATGTGTGTTCAATTCCTTGCTCTGCCACAGACTCCCTGTGTGACCTTGGGCAACTTACTTATCCCCCTGTGCCTCAGTTTTCCACCTGTACAACGGGGATTACGCTTTCCCTGGCTCACATGGCTGAGCTAACATCTCAGAGGGGCTTTTGTGCTGTGGAGACTCATTGCACCGCATGGACTGCAGAGCTGACATCACCTGACTGCATAGAAGAGGGACTTCGGCGTGGGAACAATGTTAAATGGTACCGGCAGCGTCAGGCCCTCCCTGAAGTAAGATAGGTAGAGCTTGGAGCGGGCAAACTTCCACTCCACGTCGGCATCATCCTGCAATGCAAACGGGAGAACGCAGTTGGGGTGGATGCAGGGGCCAATCTCATCTCTTGCATGGGGTAGGTAGTGGAGATCTTAGAGGCCACGGAGGACATTTCCTCCAGCCTTTGAGAAGTGCCAAGTTCACCCCATGCTCTCTCAGAGCGTGGCCAGCTATTCTTGTGAGAGATTTGGACTTATTTAGTCTGCAGAAGAGAAGAGTGAGGGGGGATTTGATAGCAGCCTTCAATACCTGAAGGGAGGGTCCAAAGAGAATGGAGAGAGGCTGTTCTCAGTAGTGATGGATGGCAGAACAAGGAGCAATGGGCTCAAGTTACAATGGGGGAGGTCTAGGTTGGATATTAGGAAAAATTATTTCTCTAGGAGGGTGGTGAAGCACTGGGATGGGTTCCCTAGGGAGGGGGTGGAATCTCCATCCCTAGAGGGCAACGTCTACACTGGCACCCTTTTCCGGAAATGCTTAAAACGGAAAACTTTTCCATTATAAGCATTTTCGGAAAAAGCGCGTCTAGATTGGCAGGATGCGTTTCCGGAAAAGCACTTTTTGCGGAAAAGCGTCCGTGCCAATGTAGATGCGCTTTTCCGCAAAAAAGCCCCGATTGTCATTTTCGCGATCAGGGCTTTTTTGCGGGAAAGACTACTGTGCTGTCAACACTGGCCCTTTTCCGGAACAGTTTTCCGGAAAAGGACTTTTGCCCGAATGGGAGCAGCATAGTTTTTCCAGAAAAGCACTGATGATTTTATATTAGATCGTCAGTGCTTTTCCGGAAATTCAAGGGGCCAGTGTAGACAGCTGGCAAGTTATTCTGGAAAAGCGGCTGATTTTCCGGAATAAGTGGCCAGTGTAGACACAGCCGAGGTGTTTAAGTCCTGGTTTGACAAAGCCCTGGCTGGGATGATTGAGTTGGGATTGGTCCTGCTTTAGGCAAGACTCGATGACTCCTGAGGTCTCTGCCAGCCCTAGGATTCAATGATTCTATGACCTCCATTCCTCCATGGGCAGCTGTTCTTGTGACCTACCTACCTCCTCCCCCCACATTGGAGCCATAGAACGAGTGAAACGCTATTTAACAGCAGCAGCCGCACACATGGGGCAGAGGGACAATTCCACCACTAGGGGCTGAGGCTCTGGGATGGAGGCCGGCTCTGTTCCAGGCAGGACTCATTGGTATCACAGGCATGGCACTAGCTGGTGCAACTACTGGGTGTCCCCAGCTGGTGAGTGGGGCCCAATCTGCCTAAGGAGCCCACCCAGGGACCCTTCCCCCTTGTTGAGCAGCCGGGCAGGAGCAGCTCGCTCAGTGACTACGACAGAACAGTGCTCTCAAGGCCATGGATGCATGTGAGGCCCCAGGGGAAAGCCAGTTCTGCTGTGAGAGATACAGCTGTGCCCAGTGCAGGGTGGTCGGCAAAGGGACTCAGACCGACCCGCTGCACAGAGGGGAATTTCACTCTTGTACAGCACCTTCCACCACAAAGGGTGCCCCACATATGCGGGAGAGGGAGATGCAGCCACTTCTGGGGTGGAGCACTATAGTGCCCTCAATAGCTCACAGCAACACGACGCACAACGGGGACTATTTTGATGGGGTTTGGGGGAGGAAGGAGGAGGGAGGTTTGGAGGAGGGAGGGTGGAATTGCCTGATTGTTGGTCAGCACCGGGAGTGCAAGAGAGAAGCGAGACAGCGTAAGAGGAGGCCCATTCACTGTGGGGCCGCTCGGCTTTGGGGTAGGCCCAGGCTGCAGCCACGCCTTGGCAGGGCGTTCCACGGCCCTCACCTCAATCTTCTGGAAGGAGTTGGTGATCATGGCGATAAGCATGTTGAGCAGGACGATGACCATGATGATGGTGAAGATCCCGTAGAGCCCCCGCCCCACAAACTCTGCCAGGATGTACTGGGGCATGTCCACCACCTGGTGCTCCTCCATCCCGAACATGGTCCAGAACAGGAAGGGGAACGTCTCGTTGAAACTGCCCGAGAAAGGGGCAGCAAAGAGCGGGGCCTGGTTACACGGGGCCTGGTTACACGGGGAATGCCCCACGCCGACAAGAACACGCAACAGCCCCAATCCTTGGCCACACTGATGTCAGCAGCATCCCAGGAGATGCAGGATTGGCCTGTGTGTCCACTAGACCTTCCCGGGCAAGTCCTGGGGCCTGCAGGACCCTTTAGAAGGCCTCTGCCAGCAGCCGCCTAGGCCCCCAGCAAGGTTTCCTTGAGAGGCAACCTATAGTTTCACCCCATTGTTCCTTGTTAAATCCTCACCAGCCCCCTGCACAACCCACGTCCTCCTGAAGTGCCCAAAGACCCAAAATACGTAATCACACCCTCATTGGTCGCTCCCCACTGGGCTCCTTGGAATCTCTTTCAACTGAGAAACCAGGTCCCCCATTCCCACTGCAGGTGTCACCCGCACAGGACCCCAAAGTGCTGCCCCACGTGGCTCCCCGCTCACGCTACAGCCCCCATTCATGTTGTTGGCACATGAGAGGCCAGGGATCGCCTGGGCAGGCCAGGGACCTTAGAGCCTCTCTCAGCCTCATGGGTCACTTTCTGAAGCATCCGGCCCGGCTCAGCCCTGCCCCGGGGGTCCCCGCAGTGCAGCTGGGAGCCCTCGGGAGGCCTGCCGCAGGC